CCCCCCCCCCCCCCCCCCCCGCCGATGGACCTGCTCCTTCTGTTTAATGTGCCTGCCTTGCCGTTGGGAACTGGGTTCAGTTACAAGGGCCCACGATGAGCACCACAGGAGCGCCCTGCTGGGAAACCAGTCGGGCAGGGGCACCCTCCTGCCCCCCAGCGGCTGGTGTAGGCAGGCAGGCTGCTTCCTGCTTGCTTCAGGCGTTGGCAGAGGGGCTCCGGAGGGGGAATTAAATCCCAGTGGCGGGGCAGAGGCGCACGGTGCCCCCAGCAGTTTCCTCCCCCAGCTGGGAGGCGCCGGGATGTCCATCTGGGACTCGCTCGCGGGGCTTTCCTGGGTGCCTGCCGTGTGGGCAGGGCCCCCGGGCACAGGTGACCATCCTCCCTCGTCTGCCCTGCAGGAAGAGCGAGAGCTACTCCCCGTCAAGCAGCTCCAAGTCCCACAGCCGCTCCCGGAGCCGCAGCGACTCCCCGCCACGGCAGCTCAGCCACAGCGGCTGCAGCTACCGCTACAAAGGCTCCAAGACGCGGAGCTGCCAGAAGGCCAAGGGCTACAAGTCCTCCTCCCCCAAGCAGCCGCGGGCCCGCAGCCGGAGCTCGTCACGGTCCCGCAGCCGCTCGCGGGAGCGCTCCGACCGCTCGGGCAAGTACAAGAAGAAGAGCCACTACTACCGGGAGCAGCGGCCCGAGCGCCCGCACTCCTACGAGCGGCCCGGCCACCGCTACGAGCGGGAGCACCCCAGCCACAGCCGGCACCGGAGATGAGGCCGTGCCCAGCGGCGCGGCGCCCCGTCGCCGGGCCCCGAGGGGGGCCTCGCGGACCGGACCCCGACTGCTGTAGGCCTGCTTGGCAGGCTCCGGAGAGGGGGCGGCGGGGGCGCGTGTCCGGGCTGCTTTTCCGACCTCTGCTCCGACTGAGACTGGCGCCGCCTCGTCGGCGCTGGAGAAGCACGACTGCATCCAGGACACCGGCGGGTCCTGCGGAGCGGATCGCCCCGTGAGGCCGCAAGGAGAGCCGAGACTTCCCCCGGAGCCTCGGACGTTCCCGCCCTGCAGCCTCGCTTGGTGCTAGCAGCTGCCCTTGCTTTCACGTTCCCAGCTCCCGATGGACTCAATTGCGTTGTAATAAAACACAAGGTGATTTTTTGATTCTTCGAACCAATGCCTATATTAGGCACGGCCTCTTTGTGTATATATCTAGTGTTGGAACAAGAAGGACAGAGAAGGCCTTAACCCTTTAAAGTGCAAATGCATTTAATTAAACTGCGGGGGGGGGACTTGAAACCCACTCGATACGGAGAGCTTAAATTTCCTTGACTGATGAGTCCCCCCCCCTTTAATTTAGGGTCAGGTTATTTCCTGTTTTCATTTTTTGCATAAAGAACTCTGTGGAAATGTGAAAAGTATTTAGATTCCGTGTGTTGGAAGTGGTCTATTTTTTAAAACTGGTGGAATGCCTGGTGCAGGCCACCAGCTCAGGAGGTTGGGGTGCTTTCATATAATATAACGTTTTATGTGGTTTAGATAAACTCTCTACTCAGGTTCTTTAAAAACTCTGAACTGATAGTTGGCCCGCCTGTTGCTTGCAGAAATGAAGGTGTTTATATTAAGAGAGAAATGTATAACAGCCCAGGAATATCCGTTTTAGTGGTATATCTGTGCTGTCTTCTTGTTCCTTGATTTCATTAAAGTATTTGATTTTGTATTTAAATATTCTGCCTCTGTCCTCGACACGAAGCAGTGGGAAGGACTGTTACCGGAGGAGCATTGGTGGGGGGAGACGCCGTACACAGCTTGGCTTTCCAGAGATCCTGGTGCGCCCCCCCCCCCCCGCCCAAATCCAGCGACGTCGGGGCAGATAGCACTGTAATGTTGCGCAAGCAAAGGCACAGTTCCCTGCCCCGAGGAGCTTACAAGCCAAGGTTAGACCACGGTCATCAGGTGGCGAAAGGACTTGGGCAACTCTGGTTAGTATGAACGATAGTCAAGCGACAGGTGCGCTCGTGCTGGGCTGCAGTCGACCCCCAACTCGTCCTGCAGTGTTTGAGGGGGGCGGTGCTGGCAGCTGGGCGGCCTCAGCACTGGCTGGCGTTCGTGGCCGCTGCTTTAAGCAGAAGCTTTCAGCACCACCTTGCCGACTTCTCCCCCCTCGCAGGGCCTGCTTGATTCAAAAGAGCAACGGCGCTCCATGGAAGCTCGGCCCGTCCGGCTCGGGTGTGAGCCGGGAAGACGGCCTCGTTCGCGGCTGGGGGCCATTCGCGCCCGAAATAAAGGGATTGTGTGTTCCTTAACACTCTTGCAAGAGACGCAAGGACGCCCTTTTCCGCCCGCTCCCTGGCCGAAGAGCCCGGCGGCAGCGGCTCTGCTGGGGCTTGTGGAAGGGGGCGAGGGTGGTGCCCAGGCATTCCAGCCGCCCCCTCCCCTGCTGCCCCCACCGCGGGGTCCCTGCGGCTTGGGCTTTCCTTCCACGTCTCCCGGGGCAGATCGGGAAAAGGGGGATATGGGGCGGCTTTTGCAGTCTCCGCTGCGGGGAGCTGCCCCCCCAAGGTGGGCCAGGAGTTCCTGGGAAGAGCTGACTGCAGTACAAGAAACGGGGTCCTGATTGCACGTGGAAATCGCAGGTGGGCGGCTTTTTCGCGCCTGCCCTGCCGGATTTTGTCAACCCAGCACCGGGTGGGGGAGCTTGGGCACCCTGGGGTGGGTGCTGATGAGGGGAGGGTCTGGGGGGGGAGCTGGAATATGGGGAGACACCAGGAAAATTCGCCTCCTGACCTTCCCAGACTCCCCTCCTCATCCGAAATGTGCTCTTTTCCCCTTACCTGGAGCTGTTGTGATCCCGGAGAGCCAGGCTGATGGGGAAAGGGGGGGTAGCCATGGACCCCAGGCCTCCACTCTTCTGCTTAGGGATTCCTGTGGGCAGCAGGTTGAGCTCTACAGAACACTGGAATGGATGGAGCCTCCGGCAGGGCTACTTCCACGGTCTTAAGTAAAAGCTACTAGTCCTCATGATCCAGGGGGAGCCGTTTGGACAGCTGTAAAAGGGGACTGGACCAATTCATGCAGAAGGCAACCCCGGGCTTCTTGATGGCTGTGTGTGAGTTCCAGTTTCAGAGGGGGTGCAGCTGTGTGCACCCATTGCTGGGGGACATGGGCAGGAGGGTGCTCTGGGAGTCCTGTCCTGCTTGTGGGTCCCGGCTCTTCCGATGGGCCGAGCAGCAGCTCTCCTGCAGAATTTCAAGCAGAGAGACGGGTTTCCTACATCAGCTCCTTTATGGGCCTTTGACCTGAAGATCGCCGAGTAACAACCCCTTTCTGTCCGGTCTCCTCTTCCCCGACCCAAAGTGACAAGAGTCCTGCCCGGGTGCGAAAGAACGACAACCGTGCTTAAGCGCTGAAAACAGCTTTACCGAGTCTCTTGGACGGCGACGCACGCGCGCTTTTGAGCTCTGCCAGCTCACCGCTCGCCACCAGAGGGCGGCACAGACCGTGCGCTGTGAGATGCAGCCGGCCGAGGGGAGCGGGCGTAGGAACCTTTGGAAGCCGGAACCCTAAGAGCGGGTGCGCGTTGCAGGGAGGGATGTTTGAGTCCGACGTACCTCGCAGCGCTCCCGGATGTTCCGTCGTTAAAAAGCACCCCGGATGCGAAAGGGGATGGTGAGCGAGCAAGGGTGGGAGAGAGGGACTTTGACGAGCAGCGCACCGAGCCCACCCCCGCACACCCCCAGACAGAAATTGGCTTTGATACAGAGAGCAACCCTGTTCTGATTTTGGAGGGCGCCTTGCAGCGGTATTTACGGTAAAAGCACTTTTTGGGATCGGGGCCCCCTCGCTCTCGGGCCTGGGGTGAAGGGGGGTGGGTCCGGTGCCGGGGAAGCCGGGCAGGGTCGGGCTTAGCTGGTGGACATCTGGATGGGTGACTTACATGCTGTGATCTGAGTTCAGGGACTTGTTTTGATGTGCGTCTTTTAAATTACTGTTTCTGGCAGAATGATCCAGGATGCTGATTTCTCGGCTGCTGTCTCAGATAGCAAGGGTTTCAAGATGCACAGGTGAGCGGGGCCTTTCCTGGGAGCCTCGAATCAGATATTATTTATTTTTATGATTTAAAGTTCTTGTATCCCGACTAAGGGCAGCAACACAGTGAAATAAATAAATAAATAAAAATATGGCCCAGCATCACTAGCAAATAAAAGCCAGAGTAAAAACACAAATTAACATTTAAAATGATGGGAAAGTAAGGTTTTGGCCTGATGCTGAAAAGAAAAGAAGAATTTTAATTTTGTATTTGTAAAGCAATGTATTTTTTGTATTTTTATATTTAATGGTAATTTATTATGTACTATTGTATTTCAATTTATTTTATCATGTTGTAAGCCGCCCCGAGGTTTCGGCAAGGGGCGGCATAGAAATGTTATAATAATAATAATAATAATAATAATAATAATAATAATAATAATAATAATAATTAGTAGAGCAGAAAGGGGCCAAGAAGGGCCATCAGGTTCCACCCCCTGTTCAGTGCGGGACTCCAAGTTAAACATCCCTCCCAGATGGCCTCTTGAATGCCTCCCATGTGGGAGAATCTACAACTTCCCTGGGTCATGAATTTCAGTGTTGTACTGCTCTAACAGTCAGGATGTTTCTCCTGATATCTAGCTGGAATCTGGCTTCATGTCGCTTGAGCCCTGTCCTGGCCTGGCCTTCCTCTTTGTGCCAGCCTCTCAAATACTTGAAGGGCGCTGATCTGTCTCCCCTCAGTCTTCTCTTCTTGAGGCTAAACATGCCCAGTTCCATCACTTGCTCCTCACAGGGCTGTTTCCAGTCCCTGGATCACCCTTGTTGCCCTCTGCTGAACTCTTGCCTGCATCTTTGATCCATCTTGCTTGCATCTTTCTTAAACTGTGGTGCCTGGAACTGGACACGGGACTGCAGATGAGGTCTGAGCAGTGCTGAGTAAAGAGGAACTAGTACTTCAAGGGATTTGGAAGCGATAGTCCTATTAATGCAGCCCAAAATAGCATTTCCCCCTTTTGTAGCTTTGTATATGAGAATTGTCACTGCATCTGTCTGTGCCAATATCACCCACTCTGACTGGCAGTGATTTTCCTGGGTCTTTCTCTACCTTTGGAAGTGGAGATGTTGGACCTTCACCCGTTTGGGTGCAAAGCAGGGGCTTTCCCACCAAAGGGACCATTCAAGTGATGGGGAAAAAATGGCAACACCTGTTTGTATATCTGGGACATTCAACCATTTTCAGCCTAAGGGCCAAATTCAGCATCAGAGGCGCTCTCCGAGAACAGGTTTAGCCCCAGTGATCTCAGCCCAGTGGTGTTCCTCAGCAGTTGTCTAACTATATTGTTATATTTATGTCCCACCGTTTCCCTCTTCAAGGAGCCTAAGTTGGCTCACATGGTTTTTCTCCTCTCCTTTTTCTCCTCACGACAACAGCCCTGTGAGCTGGTTGGGCCGAGAGTCTGTGACTGGCCCGAAGTCACCCAGGTGGCCCCATGGCCAAGCGGGGACTAGAACCCGGATCCCCTGAGTTCCAGTCCCGCACTTTAACCCCACTTGATCTCTAGAGTGTATTCCTTCCCTTCCCTTATAGAACTAAGCAAATGGGACCTATGCAAGAATGCTGCAGTGTGTTGATCACACACACAAATACTTCTGCTGATATGTGTCACTGTTTGGCCTATCAGTGATACAAAAAGGTTTAAAAAAAAAAAAAAATAGAAATCTGGCTCTCACTTCCGGCAGAACGCTTCTTGACAAGATCGGCCACTTCCCTTCCGACGCCTAGACTCGTGGCTTCAGCCCGTTACAGCACCCAGCCCTCGAGCAAAAACGGAATCCACCCCCAGCAGTGGCATGCCCTGGACCCTGAACTGGAAGAGGTGCTGGTGCCTCGTAAGCTGTCCGTCTCTCCCCTCGAAAGCTGGTTGACAGTCCAGTATTCTCTCCTGGAAAGGGCCGTCAAGGCCCCTCCAGAGCCTGCCCAGGAATATGAGCTGCCCCCTTGTTCCTGGGGCACGGAGGAGGAAGAGGAGGAGTGGGGAGGTGAGCCGAACCGGGACAGGATGGAATGCAAGAACATTCTGAAGATCCGGAGGCGGAAAATGAATAAGCACAAGTACAAGAAGCTGATGAAAAGGACAAAATTCTTGCGAAAGAAGATCAAGGATGGGCGACGGAAGAAGAAACAGGTGAGGTGCTTTCTGGAAACTGGGTAGGGCTGGGTAGATGTCCGAGGGTGCTGGGAGTTGTAGTGCAAGAACATCTAAGTGGCGGTGGGTCCTTCCCCCTGGACTCCCAGCCGACTCCTGTGTGTGTCTTTTCCGAAAGGAGTCCTGTGTGACTCAGCGGGTCTTCCTCCCGGTTGAGTAGGGCCACAGGATGGTATCCGTAATGTTTTACGTATGAGATCACTGTCAAGTCACGTGCTTCACTAGTGGTGTCCAGTCCCAGTCCGGAAATATTACACTTGACTTGATTCGGCTTCGCAACCCCTCCTTACCTGATCCCTTTGGATTTTGATCTGCTTTTCCACTTCCGCGAACTGTGCAACCCCAGTTTGAGCCCCGGACGGTTCCCACAGCTCCTCTCAAGGCGAGGACGTAACTTCCAGGCTCAGTCGCAGCTTCCTCTTTCTCTTCTCTTCCTCTAGAAACGGTTTGAACGGGATCTGGAGCGAATCTGGAGGAGGGCTGGATTAAAGAAGGCCCCCGAGGGCTGGGAGACACCAAAGATCTATCTCACTAAAGTGAAGCTCAAGTAACAATGCTTTGGATGGGTTTTTTTTTTTTTTGCTTTTCAATTAAAAGAGTATTTAAAACAGGGGAGTGCTTGCTTCCTTTCCGTTTCCCCTACAGTGTGATGGTAGTGCTGGGCCCTGTTGCCATCTTCCAAATCATCTTGTAACAACCTCGAAAGTAGACCAGAACTGGCATTGCAAGTTCCCATCCTCGGCTGATGTGTCTCTGCACCTGAAGAGTCCCTGTAGACATTCTTAGTCTGGTGTCTAAGCTTTGACCGTTCCACTTCAGGTGATCCTGCTGGCAGACCAGCCTAACCCTGTAAGAGCAACTCCAAAAACCCTCTAGGGAATTGGAAGACAAGCCTCTGCCAAACTGGGAACTTCTCCCCAAAACCTTGCCCTTCCAGCAAACTCCAGGCTGTCCCCTCAGCCGGCCATTGAGACCTGCACAAGTCTACAGAAACTGGGTAGCTTGTCTCCTCCAGCAGCTCATCACGGGGCATCGCTGGGCAAGGTGATGTCTCTCCCTTCTCAGGCTCCTCCCATCTCTTCCAAAACATCTCTGCTCCCCGGTCGGCCTCTGCCTGAATTTCCAAAAACTCCCGTCAGTGAGTCTTCAAGGGCATCGTCTTCAGAATCCAGGTCTTGACGAGCAGGGTGCCCACCAGGAAGGGCAGCCTAGTTCACTCGCTGCAGTGTTGCGGTTGTGTTAGAAGGGTGCGGATGGATTTTGGGACGCCCACTTGAGGATGGAAGCCCATCTCCCAAAGATCATCTAACAGGCATTTGGGTGAGTGGGGGAGTGTAACTCCCCCAGTTTATACTGAACCGCATTCGGCACATCAGTTGCACCCAAATAAGGACAACTCTCAGGTTTTCATAATACAAAACACGAAGAGCATCTAAAGAAAGGAAATGTTGCAGTAGTTTTGCTATAAAAAAGGTAAGCAGGAGACAATGAATGTTTCTGTTGCAACACAGACAAAACAATTATTTCTTTCAAGAGAATCTAAAGAAGAAAATATTGCAGTAGTTTTGCTATAAAAAAGGTAAGCAGGAGACAATGAGTGTTTCTGTTGCAACACAGACAAAACAATTATATTGCAGTAATTATATTGCAGTATCGATTTCCGTAAGTCCACCCTGAGGATGGAGTTCAATCGCTTGAGCAAAGTACAGGATCAGTGTGGAATCACCAGGAGACCCAACATTTGTGGAGGGAGCCAAGTGGGATAGAATTAATGTACAGTGAGAAGTGGACACATTCTAAAAAGCATCTAACAGTGATAAACTGATGTAGGGCTGACACGGAAAATCCAGCTCGGAATGAGGAATGCTTGCATTAGTATTCTTAATTGCTGGTTTTTCAGCTGGTCCTGCCATTTGAAAATATATTCCATATGAAAGTGTCAATTAGAAAAAGACGAGCATGGTTATTACCAGAAAAGAGAGCGATGGATGTGGATATGAGGGGGCCGTGCAGTCTGGCTTGGAGTTCGGGTGCCCCTTACTCAGTGTGGCTTGCTTCTGAGGAGACCTGCCTAGCACTGCAGTTTTGGGAACGACCCAACCATGTGATTGCAGAGAGACAGGGGACGCGCCTTGCCTTGCCTTGCCTTTCTCGTTTTGCAGGGCTGGCTCTTACTGATGGATTTGCAAAATAGGACACACACTGGAATAAAAGCCCCAGGTTTAAAGTTTATGCTCTGGGTCCACTGAGTTTAGTTTTGTGCAGCTCTGTCTGAGCTGACATCACAAATATTTTCAGTACAGATGTATCTGAGTTTTCTTTCTCGAGGTTTTCCTTCGTAATACACAAAGTCCCCCAGACTTTCCTGTGCTTGCCGCTTTCACTTTCCTTCTCTCTGCAGCCCCGCATTCCAAACTCCAACTCCCAGCATGCAGTGCTCTGCTAAGGCCGCCCAGAGAGCTCAAATGTGAAGAGAGGCGCGTTTACCTTGACCCGCGGTCTCTGCCTAGATATACCAAGGCCCCATAAAAGCAAATCTCTCTGGATGTGTGAGGGCTGTCCAGTAGAAAGCAATGGGCAGCTATGTTTGGACAGAAAAAAGGAAAGAAAAGCCTGCGACTCAGAGGTGCCCAGCCTGGAATTCGGGATTGGGGGCACACAGGGACTCCAATCTTTGCTCCCCCTGGACCCTTTAAAGCTCCTGCCGACCTTTGGATTTGGGAGCTAGGCAGGGGGAAATGAGCGACTCTTTTTTCCTGGCTCAGCCCCTCCCTTTGAGGAGCAAACTTTTCAGGAGCAAACAGCAGGGGGAGCACACATGCCAGAAATCCACGATCGGATATCCAGGAATATTATTCTGCACGAGAAAATGGCTCAGGACGAGGACTTTTCCCTCCTGCAGAAAGGCGTGGGAGAAAACCGGGGCCTTGGACGAGATCTTCATCGGATTGATAGCTAAACTTTTCGAGAAAAACCTCGTGGCTTCTTCCACGAGGATGTTTAATGCACCTCTTTCATGAGGCTTCTGCTTCCCGATTGTCTGGGGGTTAAGAAGGGCCCCTTTATTCATGGGCTTTTCCCCGCACTGGCTTTTTTCTTTAGCAGCCTTCCACTGAACAAGCAGAAGGTGGTGCTGCAGCTTGGCAGAAACGGATGAGCTTCCCATTCCAGTTTATCCCATCACTCCCAAATAATAGCACACTTCGGCTGATCTGCAGAATAAGAAAAGACGTGGAGACGGCTGCCAAGAAAGAGAGGGGCCCAGAGGGAAATGAAGCCAAGTCAAGCGCCCATGAGCTAGCAAGAGTGAGGAACTGTAAGCGTTCGATGTATTCCTCTCATGCAGAAAGCCCTGGGGTTGAAGGCAGCTAACAAGGCGAGAAGAAGGCCAAAAAATAAAAATTAAAAAGGCATAAAGTAATCATCAAGCCAGAGAGCCAGTGTGATGTGGTGGTAAAAACGGCAGGATTGGGGGACAGGCGATCTGGGTGCAAGCCAACTGGGAGACTTTGACTCTCAGCCTAGCCTACCTCTCAGGGTTGTTGTGAGGGTAACATGGAGAGGAGGAAGAGAACCCTCGAAAGGAAGAAAAGAGGGGTATACATTCAATAAGAAGTAAATAATCCTAAAATAAATAAATGAAAAGCACAGTTAAAAATAAATAAACAGCTCTCAACCCTAAAGCGTCTCTTCCTGCCACTGGGTGCCAACTTAGCCTCTCTTGGCAGGGAGTTCCAGTGCCTGGAAACAGAATTTCCTGGGAAAATATCATCTTTGAACAAGCAGACGCTGTCCTGGGGCTGCTATTTCTAGAATGGAGACTGCGTTCCCTGCCCAATGGGCCAAGCCACACATGCTGTTGATGTCAGCTTCTATCCACCTGTTCCCTGGCTGATGTCTGAGACGGCAGCTTCTACGGGCATCCTGACACAGGCTGTACAGGTTGGGGCTGATGGGAACTGAAGTACAAATCTCTGGAAGACGACAAGTCGGGGCAGTCAAATTATTATTTTATGTGTTCTGTCTATAGCCCAATGCTTTCTCTTGCAAGGAAACCAAGGTAACGGACACGTTCCTCTCCATTTTATTTTCACAACAACCCTGCAAGGTAAGCCAGACTGAGAGGCGGCAGCTGGCCCAAGTCACGCAGTGCGAGGATTCTTTTAATCCTAAGAGGAATTTCAGCCGCGACTCAAAGGATGTTTTAAAAACAGTGTTTCTTAAGGCTGAATCTCGGAAACGAGGAAAAGATCGTGCCATTCCAGTTCGCATCAGCGTGCATGAATAGCCCCCATGGAAAAGGCCAAGCTGCACCCCACGAAAAAAGAGAACACAAGTCCATCTGCCTGTCACACACACCTCTCCACCTTCACAAGGGAGCAAAGGAGTCCGGGGATCAGTCAGTGCCATCCTCTTTCCAAAGCAATCAGACAAGCACATGGATAGCAGAACCTTGAACAGGTTCTTGTTTTCCCTGCTGCCACTGTTACTCCTTTTCTCCAGAATTTGCTTCTCCAGAAACAGTGAGCTGAGGTACAGATCAACTTGTGACGGTTCCTACAGAAAGTGGAGGCTGCCCAGGAAAAGGAGGGGCTTTCTTCCCCAGGATACTACCCCGTGTTTCAGCTGCAGCACTAAAATGGCTGTGCAGAAAACCGGCCTCTGGATAAGCCGGATGGCACGCAGAACTGCCCAAGCACGTAACTATTGAGGAAAAGAGGCTGCTTCATTGTTCAAGTGCAGACAAGTCTGCTTTAGTTTTCCTCTGAGGAAATTTCTGCATAGGACAGGCACATGTGGACTGTATCCACAACATAGTCTATGAGCAATCAACATTCATCTATTGTGTTATATGTACAATGAAGACATGCGACTGGAGACCCAACCTACATGTACAGAAGCCACACCCAAGTAGGGAAGAACTCAAACATGAAGTAATTAATTATGTTGTGAGCCACCCCAAAGCTTTGTTGCGATGGGGGCGGCATAGAAATGTTTTAAATAAAAAAATAAAATAGATAAATGTTGGCCGGCCCCCAGGCTTGCGACCTCCGAAGGCTTCGATCTGCTGCGTGGGGACCGGAACTGGAGCGAAGAGCAAAGGCAATTCTGCAGCACGGAGACATTTCCGCAGGTGACGGAGAGCCAACGTACACCTTCTTGCCATAGCCGAAGCCTTTCTGGGTCCATTTTCCTTGGCCCCGAACTCGTTAGTTTCGTCTCGGAACGGCCGCAGCTGTTGCCTTCACCTGCTTTTGGTCACCCGTTCTGCTTGCTTGCTTGCTTGCTTGCTTCCCCCAGCTCTTTCTCTCTCGCTTTCTCTTCCCAAGCACCTGGAACACAAAGCAGCCTTTTAGAAAGCAACAGACAGGTTTGCTCTCCTGCCGTGGCCCCCGGCTGGAAATTTCCACGTGCCCCAGGAGTTCCAGCTGCCCTGTAACCTGCAGACGGGAACAAAAGCAGCCGGTCCATCTGCGAGCTGAAAGGACTGGTTACAACCGTGCCTTTCTTCTCCAGGGTCTCCTGCACGAGGCATTCCCAGGAACCGAGGAGGAGGAAGGCCGGGATTCAAGCAGAGAGATCAACCGTCTTTGGTTTCTCCTCTCCAAA